TATCCTGCTCTGATAACTTTGTGAACCAGTGATTCGGTACCGGAGTGGTTCCCACAAGTGCCTTCGTGAATCTCCCGTAGGACGTAGTCGGTGTCTCCTGGTCCCAAGCATATCGCCAATGGCCCATCGAACATCCTCCTGAATAGCGTTCCATCCTCGGCTAAAGTGAACCGTGCTGCCTTTGTGCGTAGAGCTCTTGACTCATTTGGATCCGATGGGAGCTTTCCATTCTTTAAGTACTCTATGTACTTGTTTCTCCAATCCCAAGTCAAACTTGTAGAGTTTATTTCGGCATGGCCTTCTTCGATTATTGATACGACAATCCCCGAGTTAAGTTCTTTATCCTCGATCGATGACCCTAAGTTTGCAAGGGCATCGACCTCGTTGTTTTGTTCCCGAGGTATGTGTTATTAGGTCCATTCTTTAAATCGATGCAAAGTGACCTGTAGCTTGTCCAAGTATCTCTACATTCGATCTTCTCGGACTTCGAAAGTTCTGTTGACTTGGTTTACCACAAGTAGGGAATCACATTTGGCCTCGATGACCTCTGCTCCCAAACTTTTAGCCAACTCGAGACCTGCAATCATGGCCTCATACTCGGCCTTATTGTTAGTTAACTTCGAAGTTTTGATAGATTGTCTAATTATGTTACCTGTGGGCGGCTTCAAAACGATGACCAGCCCAGACCCTTTCACATTCGAAGCGCCATCTGTGAAGAGGGTCCACACCCCCGATGATGTACGCGATTTTAATAATAGTTCCTTTTCGACCTCGAGCACGAGGGCTGGTGTGAAGTCGGCCACGAAGTATGCCAATATTTGAGACTTGATGGTCGTTCAGGGTTGATATTCTATTTCATACCTGCAGATCTCGACGGCCCATTTGGCCAGTCGACCCTAAAGTTCGGGTTTGTGCAAAATATTGCGAAAGGGATAGGTAGTAACAACACAAATAGGGTGACATTGAGAATATGATTTTAATTTCCTAGAGGCTCTTATTAAAGCAAGCGCTAATTTTTCTAAGTGTGGATATCGGGTCTCCGCCTCACCTAAGGTCCGACTAACATAGTAAACAGGGAATTGTGTACCTTGCTCTTCTCGAACTAGGACCCCACTTATCGCTATTTCTGAGACTGCTAAGTATAAGTAGAGTTGCTCGTCCCCTTTCAGGGTGTGAAGCAGTGACGGGCTCGACAGGTATCGTTTCAGTTCTTCTAAGGCCTGCTGACATTTCGGGGTCCATGCAAAATTGTTCTTCTTCCTGAGCAGCGAGAAGAATCGATGACTCCGGTCTGAGGACCTCGAAATGAATCGCCCCAAGTCCTTATAGTATACGCACATTCTAAGTTTATTTTCCTTCTTAGGGACTACCACTACGTTTGTCAATCATTCGGGATATTTTACTTCCCGAATGGACGCTATTTTGAGATGTTTGGTTACCTCGTCCTTGATGAATGCATGCTTAACCTCGGACTTGGGCCTTCTCTTTTGCTTACTGGGCGGAACTAGTGGGTGGGTATTGATCTCTGGTGGTATCTCTGTCATGTCGAGATGGGACCAAGCAAAGCAATTCATGTTAGGTGTAAGGAAATGAATAAGTTTTTTCCTGAGCTCGGGGGTTAGCCCCGTGCCTAGGTATACCTTTCGTTCTGGCTAATGTACGGTCAATGTGATTTGTTCCAGCTGTTCGATCGTTGATTAGGTGGCGTCAGAGTCATCGGGAACTATGAAAGATCGAGGTATCCCATAGTCGTCGTCCTCATCGGTATCCCGCTTCTCCAGTTGGGTCGAGGCCGGTGTCTGTGGTTGCTATTTAGCCTCTTGCTTTCCCTTCGAGTCCGATCCCTTTGCTGAAAAAGTGCTGACACCGATATCACTTCATCAATTGCAAACATCTCCTTGGTGGCATGTTGTTCCCCGTACACTGTTTTGACTCCTTCAGATGTTGGGAAAGAACATGATGAAGGGTCGAGGGGCCGCCCTCATGTTATGGATCCAAGGCTTTCCGAGAAGAGCGTTGTATGTCATGTCGCCCTCGATTACAGGGAACTTCGTTTCTTGGATGGTTCCCGCCATGTTTACTGGAAAAACAATCTCACCTTTAGTGGTTTCTCTTTCCATGTTGAAACCGTTAAGTTCTCGAGCTGTGGGCACAATTTGATCTTGTAGGCTGAGCTGTTCTATGACCCTTGATCGAATAATGTTGGCTGAGCAACCTGGATCAACCAAAACACGTTTAACTTGAATTTTATTCATAAGGACAGATATTACCAGTGCGTCGTTATGAGGTTGTTCGATTCCTTCCGCATCCTCATCGTGGAAAGACAAGGTCTCTTCTGGTAAGTAGTCCCGTGTTTGCTTTTCTCTTGTGATCGTCACCTTAGAGCGCTTAAATACCGGTCCATGGGGGGAATGTCGACCCCACCAACGATCATGTGAATCACGTACTGCGGTTCCTCTTGCTCGTTCTGCCTGTTTGAATCTCTGTTTTTGAAGTGGTTCTTGGCCCGCTCACTTAAGAATTCTCGAAGGTGACCCTCGTTGAACAATCGGGCTACTTCCTCCCTTAGCTGCCTGCCTGTTTTATGGCCATGGGTACCATGGTACTTGCATATTTGGTTTGGATTTCTCTGGACCGAATCGGTATGCATAGGTCGAGGCCACCGGGTATCTTTGATACGTCCGATGGCTGATACTATGGCAGAAACATCCACGTTGAAGTTATATTCCGACAGTCGAGGTGCTTCTTTGGTCCCGACATCCCTATCGAAACCACTTTTGCTCATGAGCCCTCGGGAAATCTGTCTTCGATCATTCCTTATATCATTCCGAACGGGGTTGCACCCAGGCCCATTATTTCTCCGATCTCCACCGTATGGCTGATATCGGTCTCTGTTCGACCGTGGTTCCCGGTCGATGTCCCTTTTAACTCTAGCCATTGTCCTATTAGGATAAATCGAACCAATCGGAGCCCTCGGTTGATCATCCTCGACCCTGATCTTCGATTGATAGTGATTATGTACATCAGCCCAAGTGATGGCTGGATATTCGATCAAATTCTATATCAACTGCTGTGAAGCTATGGAACTTCGAGCGTTGAGACCTTGAGTAAAAGCTTGAATAGGCCAATCGTCGGTGACTGGTGGCAAATCCATTAGCTCCATTTGGAATCGAGATACGAATTCCCTGAGCATTTCGTTGTCTTCCTGTCTTACCTTGAAATGGGCCAACTTTTTGGTAGCGACCTTAATGGATCCGGCATGTGCCTTTACAAAAGCATGTGCAAGCATAGCAAATGAATCAATAGAATTAGGGGGTAAATTATGGTACCATATCATAACACCCTTCGATAGAGTCTCCCTGAACTTCTTTAGCAACACGGACTCGATATCGTCATCTTCCAAGTCACTTCCCTTAATGGCCCACGTGTATGAGGTGACGTGCTCGTTTGGGTCTGTTGGGTCTGTTGTCCCGTTATATTTCGGGATCTTGGGCATAAGGAACTTCTTGGGGATTGGCTTAGGAAACGCACTCAGGGGGAAAGGTTTTTGGACAAACTTTTTGGAATAAAGTCCTTTCAACACTGGTGGGCCCACGGGATTTTGTAGACCCTGGAATTATAAGTTTCCACTTTCTTATCGTTTTCCTTGATTTTCTTTTTCCCAGTCTCGATTCGCTTCGTCAGTTCTTCGATCATCTTTACGATAGAAGGGTTGGTCTCCGGTTCTCCTCCATTCGACCTCTTTGACACCAATTCGGCTCTATGAACAATTTCTTGCGACGGCTCGATCTCGATTCTGCTCGGTGCACGATTCTGATTTTGGAGCTGTGCTATTGCAGCTTGTTGGGTCTACAACATTTTGAATATCATTCGAAGGCTAACACCACCTTCTTCACCTCCTAGGCATTCTGATATGCCATTCGAGCACCTCTACGAACGCTATTTTCAGGGTCGACGCCCAAATTCCCATTAATAGCAATATGGGAGCTGACGTCGATTGGGTCCACGGCCGGAGCACCGTCGGGGTTGACTGGAGGTACTCCGTTCCCTAGGGAGGCTATGTTATCGTTCTCGCCATGGAGACCGAGACCATTGTTTGTGTGTGTAGGTGCTACTTGAGAGTTTGACATGTTGATCCTGGAATCAAAGATACTTCAAAGAACAAGTGTAAAATAGTGTGTGTTACGAAAATTGTATCAGACAATCACTGTTATCCTTAGCCCCACAGTGGGCGCCAAACTGTTTACCCTTAAAAACGGATAACAATTAAACTTATAAGTGGTTTTAAGGATATGTGATTTCACTTGGCACAAAATGATAAATATAAGAACTACTGATAGAAATTACAGTAAAATAAAGCAAATCAATGTGATGAACAGTTATGACCCTCGAGTTAATTGCCCTCGAACCAACTGAACAAGCTAGTGAAAGTATGAACTAAACAACAAAGCTTGCAAGGGATAAAAATGTGATATATTGCTTTGATATGCGTGAATGTAAGGTCCTTACAAATGGTTAAGACCCTCTTTATATAGTAGAGGAATCCTATTTACGGTATAACTCTAATTACAGAAGGAAATCCCATGATTAGCTAAACAACCGCCCTTGATTTGATATGTTACGAGATTTTCGCCATGATCTTCGACCAATCACGGATATCTCGCCGTTCCGTTATTATGCTATCTTTGGTCTTGCTCGATGTCTATCCCGTTCGACCTTGATCATTACTGTTCTTGATCTCGACAGGTACCTCGAATCCCGAACTCGGTACTTTATCCTCATGTCTTGGTCTGATGTGCGATGGGGCTGATCCTCGATCCATCCCCCTGGTCGTGGTTAATAAAATCGAGTGGGCCCGGTTTTAACCGTATACAGAATGACTAACTAGTAAATATAAAAAAAGTGGTTAAATAAGAAAATGATTAATCCCTTTCTAGATTAATTGTCTTCGAATTGAAAATAAACTAAAAACTGAAACAATGTTTTTTCTTGTTAAGAAAAAGTTCGCAACCAAACAGATTATAAGGCCCTTTGTCTCGTCCCGCCAGTTCATATACGTTTAGAACTTCAAAATTAAATTAAGAAAAATTGAAAAGTGATGAAACTAACGGAAAACAAAATCTAAATTGCATAACCGTTCCTTATTATTGTTCAAATGAATCATCAAACCTCACAATCCTTTGGCTCTCAGCCACATTTCTACGTATCACTTCTCCAAGACAGCCTGAAAACAAAAAAACCGTTTTCCATAAAGTTAATCCATGGCAGTATAATCAAATCCGGCCTCCATTTAGGCGTTTTCCTTATGAATAATCTCATCAATGGTTATGCCAAAACCGGGTTTTTATCATATGCTCGTAAAGTGTTTGATGAAATGCCTGTGAGAGATACTTCTTCTTGGAATACACTTTTATCTGGGTATTCGAAACAAGGTTCGGTTAAGGAAACATATTTGATATTTAAGGAAATGCCTTATCGCGATTCTGTTTCGTGGACTACTATGATTGTTGGGTACAATTTGGTTGGTCGTTTTCAGGTTGCAATTCAGATGTTTCTTGAGATGGTTGCTTCTGATGTTTTGCCAACCCAGTACACGTTTACAAGTGTTCTTGCTTCTTGTGCTGCAATTAGAGCACTATACGAGGGCCAGAAAGTTCACTCCTTTGTTGTTAAATTTGGGTTGAGTAGTCATGTTTCCGTGGCAAATTCTCTGTTGAATATGTATGCCAAGTCAGGTGATGCAAATGCAGCTCGAAATGTTTTTGACAGGATAGTTGTGAAGAACACCTCAAGCTGGAACGCGTTGATCTCGTTGCATATGCAGGCTGGTCGGGTAGATTTAGCACTGACACAATTTGAGCAAATGCATGAGCATGACATAGTTTCGTGGAATTCAATGGTTACAGGCTATAATCAGCACGGCTTCGACGTTCTAGCTCTTAATATGTTTTCCAGAATGCTTAAAGAATCTTCACTGGGACCTGATAGATATACTTTAGCTAGTGCTTTATCAGCGTGTGCTAATCTTGGGGAGTTAAGTGTAGGAAAACAAATCCATGCTCATCTTATCAGAACTGAATTTGAGACGTCGGGAGCTGCTGAGAATTCTTTGATTTGCATGTATTCCCGATGCGGTGGCGTAGACATTGCTCGAAAAATTTTGGAGAAAAATAGAGAGTCCAGTCTAAACGTCATTGCATTTACTGCACTACTGGATGGGTACATAAAGCTTGGTAATATAAGTCCAGCAAGGAAGATCTTTGACTCATTGAAGGACCGTGATGTGGTTGTCTGGACAGCCATGATTGTTGGTTACGTTCAAAATGGCCTTAATGATGATGCAATGGAACTCTTCAGGTCAATGGTTAAAGAAGGGCCAGACCCCAATAATTATACTCTAGCAGCAATGTTGAGTGTCTGTTCAAGTGTGGCATCCTTAAATCATGGTAAGCAAATCCATTCAGCAGCCATTAAGTCAGGGGAAGCATTATCAGTTTCTGTTAGCAATGCCCTGATAACTATGTATGCCAAGGCTGGAAATATCAGCTGTGCGAGGAGAGTATTTGATTTGATACGCCTGAACAGAGACACAGTCTCTTGGACTTCCATGATCTTGGCTTTAGCTCAGCATGGACTTGGAGCTGAAGCCATACAATTGTTTGAGGATATGCTTGCACTTGAAATGAAGCCTGATCATATCACGTATGTTGGTGTTCTTACTGCTTGCACACATGTAGGATTGGTCGCTCAAGGTCGTAATTATTACAAAATGATGAACGAGATGCACAGAATTGAACCCACCTCCAGCCACTGTGCTTGCATGGTTGACCTCTTTGGTCGTGCTGGGTTGCTAGAAGAAGCACAAGACTTCATAGACAAGATGCCAATTGAACCAGATGTGATTGCATGGGGTTCACTTTTAGCATCTTGTAGGGTTCACAAAAATGTGGAGCTAGCAAAAGTTGCAGCCGACAGATTGCTTTCAATTGATCCTGAAAATAGTGGGGCCTACTCAGCACTTGCTAATGTGTATTCTGCTTGTGGAAAATGGGAGGAAGCTGCCAAGATCAGAAAATCAATGAAGGATAGACAGGTCAAGAAAGAACAAGGATTTAGCTGGATTCAGTTAAAAAATGTAGTCCATGTCTTTGGGGTAGATGATGGGCTTCATCCACAGCGAGATGCTATTTACAAGACAATGGAAAAAATCTGGGAAGATATAAAAAAGATGGGATTCATTCCACACACCGAGTCAGTGCTGCATGATCTTGATAATGAGGTGAAAGAGCAGATTCTTAGACATCACAGTGAGAAGCTTGCAATTGCATTTGGGTTAATAAATACCCCGGAGAACACTACTTTAAGGATCATGAAGAACCTTAGAGTTTGTAATGACTGTCACTCAGCAATCAAATTTATCTCCAAGCTTGTAGGGCGAGAAATTATTGTTAGGGATGCCACTCGTTTTCACCATTTTAAAGGAGGTTTCTGCTCTTGTCATGACTACTGGTAGGTCTTGAACCAAATTTTATCTAGAATTCCACATCAGAGCTGCTGAAGAAAAGTAAAAGAAAAATCTACGATGCTGGATGACAAAAAAAAAAGGAATCTGAGTTTGAGCAACTCATACATAAAGGTAAACATTACTATGAAGTATGCCTTCACTGATGGTAATGTTGTACAGCTTTGCCACCCTGTAAGTTGCTCCATTACTATTAGGGATGCCACTCGTTTTCACCATTTTAAAGGAGGTTTCTGCTCTTGTCATGACTATTTGTAGGTCTTGAACCAAATTTTATCTAGAATTCCACATCAGAGCTGCAAAGTAAAAGAAACATCTACGATGCTGGATGACAAAAAAAAAAAAGGAATCTGAGTTTGAGCAACTCATACATAAAGGTAAACATTACTATGAAGTATGCCTTCACTGATGGTAATGTTGTACAGCTTTGCCACCCTGTAAGTTGCTCCATAGAATGGGCTTTTAGCTATACTGTTGAATGATTCATGAGGTCTGACCTCTAATGTTCAAAAGACCTGCTCATGGTCAAAGTAATGTATCGAAGATAGACCCTGATGGCTTGATGGTTTTTACTAAAACACATTGGTCAGGTGAAGTGGCTATCCAGTTATAGCATTTGCACAAAAGACTGTATCTTGAGCAGTATTTTGTTAATTTTCTGAAACTGTAACAGACATTTATGTCTTCTGTACTAGCAATTTTATAAATTTTACATATATAAAGTATTTGATAGACTCTAAAATAAAAAAAGAATCAGATATTTTTGTATGTTAATCATTGACAGACTCAAATGGTATTGATGGAGCATTGGTTCTGTAGGATTCTACACAACTAATCTATTGGATGAACTTCTCTCCCTCTCCCTCATCTTTCAGTACACTAAGTCAGGAACGTATGCAAACTGAATGCATCTACAGTTTATCCTGTTTCATAATTTTTATCATTTTATATAAATCACCTCATACAGAGCCAAACCTGCAACTTTGCCTCATTTGGGAAACGTTCTTCTGGCTTCCTCACAGATTTTGAAATGCTTTTAATTGGTTATTTTTCCTTTCTCTTTTGCCATTAAAAACACCAGATATGTCTGCACTGTTATCACTTGTAGAGGCATCTTCTCCCTTGCAAAGCTTATAATTGGTTGCTTACTAACAAGCCTCAAGCTGGATTAGCAAGGCCCTCAAAAGATGAAATAAGACGGAAGCTATTTTCCATGAGAAGTCTATATTTACTGACTTTTTAAATATGACCAAAATCCCATTTCTTCTAGTAAACAATTTAAACAACCAAGTCAAAGTGTTGCATACAATCAAGATCATTAGCTGATGTTGTCATTGCAGATGCAGAATACATGATTCCACTTTGCTGTTGCTCTAGTTTGTGGCTACATGCAGTGGTGGAGCAGGTGACATTTCTAGATGGATTTTCTGACATTGTCTCATAGTGAGGTAAATTCATCTCTAAAAAATGTAGCATTTAATAGCTGATGGATTTTCTCATGCATCGACCGAAGTGATTCAAATTATGGAAAGTGATGTAAGAAACATTTTGTGTATATTAGTCTTTGCAATGATAGTGAAATGGATGGTGAATCAATAGTGTCGACCAGGTTTGAAGAAACTCGATTCACACTTGTAAGTACTTTGCCTATAGGGATTATGGCACGGTTGCCTGCCTTGCCTGTTAGCACAAGGTCAAGATATCAACATTTGTACTTTTGCTTGTTTCAATACTAGCATTTGATCCTGATTCTCACAGAAGCCTTGAGATGTTCAAAGACCATATTGTAATCTATCTTTTTCCACATTTATTGAACCATGTCAACTGTCAACATATGCTCAGTATATGTTTATGTTTGTTACTCTATTTGATGCTCTCCTATTCTTCCCTTGTGAATATGTGTGTGCTTTCTGGCCTTGCACCATCCTTGTCTTTTGTACCTTTCCATTGTAAATGCTACAATTTATATACTGTTGTGTTCCTTCTGTCGATGTTGCTCTTGCTTATGCTAGATGGATTTTTTCATAGGTTCTCACTACAGACATAGTTGATGGCTTGTTGTTGTTGGTGGTGGAGGATCTCAAAACTTGACTTTTTTCTAGTTGTTGTCTCATTGACAATGTCATTTTCGCTATACTACATCCAAGACTGCTGTCTTCTTCACCTTACTAGCTGATCATTGTTGGTCTTGAAACTCTCCGAAGCAAACAGTGTCCCAGCAAAACTTTTAACAAGTTTAATGGACTTCTGTCAGATAAGACTGACATGGTAGATTTGCTCATTTTGGAGGGATACAAAGCGGTGCTCTGGCACCAAAAAGATTCCTTTTTTTTCTTTCTTAAAGGTTCAGATTTCTTGTAGTTTAGAGGAAAATTGTAGATGATAACCGTGATGTAAATAGGCTGTTGGAAACATGGCATGAAACTGGGTGAGGAATGACTCCTTTATTGGTAAGAAATTGATATGTTTCTTTATTCGTTCCATTTATCAAGCAAAAACCCTTTTTGTATCTCATTGTCGGTCTTCGCATTCATTTATCGTGCTATATTGCTCTTTAGTTTTTCTGTTCAATTACTCTTAACATGGTTGTTTTTGACATATATAATGGTCTTTGTGGTTCAGATCTTTGACTGAGACAGAGTTTGGCTATTTCAATGTTCAAGTGTACCATTGTGGGGCCTTAGTTCTAAGACCCTAGAGGAATTATATTCTCCGACTGTGAAGATCTTAAATGCTGCAGTTGGGAAAAAAAGGGTCAGAACCACTTGGCCAAGAAATGGGAGTTGATAATTCTTCGGCACAATCATATTGAAGACTTGTACATTTCCAATCTTATTAAAGACTTGTTTGAGGCAATAGGCTAATACTTTGCAACATTGAGGCTGGGTTGCGGGGATGCAGAATTACAGATTGTTTTTCATCCCTCGAACATTTTCAATGGTGTTGGCAGTTTAATCTCTTAAGATTTTCAACATGACAAATATCAATTTGAGAATTTGATCGGGAATGAGATGAATAAACTTGCATTCAGGAAATGATATTTGATTGTAAAGAGATCCAGGGATTCAGACTATGGCGGGTCAGAAGATCAAGTATAGGCAACAAAGATATCAATCCTGAAGGCAGACTTCAAGCATCATGGTGGGTGATTGATGGTTGGAGGTCCGACTGAAAGTAGGTATAATCATCAGCTGCAGTTTTTTTTTCTTGGTGGAGAGAAATAAAGTAGAATTTAAATAGGTATAATTATCACCTGCAGTGTCTTTCTAGGCAATTTCATTTTATGTGATTTTAGGTCTATCTCGTCCATTTAAACACCTCCGGTCACCATATGTCATACCTACAATCCAATCCATCTAGAGGTTGTTGTATGACCTCTCTAAATCATCACAAACAATCTTCTCTTATCTTATCCTCCATGGGTGTTACTTACACGTTCTGACGAATGTGATCATTTTTAATGTTGTGTAACGTGTATGACTGCATATCCATCCTAAAAGCAGCATTTATGCTCTACCTATCTTGTGTATATGTCGGACCTGCAACATTCACTCCCGTATAATATTGCCGTTACTACTGTTCTATGGAACTAGCTGGAACTAGCCTTTCACTGGTAGGTAAATCCTCCTATCATATAACACTCCTGCCGCATTTTCCATTTCAACCATCCTATTTTGATTTTATGAGTAATATTTCATCAATCATACCGTTCTCTTGGAACATCGAGCCTAGATCTCTGAATTGTTTACATTTAGGCACCACAATCCCCTCTAGTCTCATCTCAGCTTCACTTTTTATTTTTTGGCTAAAATGTACATTCAGTTGGACTTCTACTTATTCTAAAACCTTTTCTCTAAAACTCTTCTCCATAGTTCAAGCTTTTAGTTGATACCCTTGCAATTTTTGCCATTTAGCTTATGTGTATTGACGTGTATATTTTTCTACACTATCATATTAAACTAATTTACAACAACCTATTCAGAGTAAGTCTAATATATTAACATGAAATATAGAGTAATAATTTACTATAATAAGATCAAATATTGAGATACGGTAAAACTTCAAGTCAAGAGCAATTTAACTTTGGTTAACTTCAGGAATTGAAATCACTTTTGAGTTAATTGAATGTTAAAATTATTTAACAGGCACCGAAAAATTGGAATAATGCAATTACTCAAGTATTAAATTTTTATTTTTTCTAACTTTAACTTTAAGTGATTGTGTTGTAAGTACTCCTCTATCCTTAATCAGAGATCTCTAGTTCGAGTCATGGGTGTGGAGTTGCCTTTGGTAGGGAGCCCTTTGTCCCACCAAAATAGGACTTTCCAGTGCGAATCCGGATTAGCCTGGTCCTAAAGCGGGTACCAAATACTGAGTGGGAAACCAGAAAAGAATCTACCATACAAAATTGATTACAATATCAGCTTATAAAAATGAAACACAGAAGTAAAACAATCTCTAAAAATTATAAAGTAGTATTCTCTCTATATTAAAGTTTAAGGGGTAAGTTTGAAACCTCTCAAAATTCTCCTCATGTATTGAATTATTTTCCTTTTCTGTTTTGCTTTCCTGATCGCTAAATCTACTTGATTAAGAAAGTCGTTTAACTTTTGTGTATTTACGTATATATATTTGCCTAGACTACCATATTGACCTGACTTATAACAACCAGTTTAAAGTAAGTGTAATATGCTAACATGAAATATAGACTGAATAATTTTCTATAACAGGTTAAGTTACACAGATACGGTAAATTTCCAAAACAAGAGGAATGCTTGCAAGTATAGAGTCAGCTAATACCATAGGTTACCAAAGAACCGACTTGCTTTATAACTGCTACATCTATAAATTCAGTATGAGAGAACCAACAAGCTCTGCAGCTCTGGGTATGAGAACCAGAAAAGTGACGAAGTGGTCAAAGAAGATGGGGGGTGTGAAGAAATGGTGGGGAAAATGGGTAGGAAACTTGAAGAGGAAGAAGACGATTAGAATAAGAAGAAGAGCAGTGATGAAACAGTTGGGAAAGAAGGTGGTGAATAGGAGGGTGAAAGGAAGAAGAATGAGAAGAAAACTGACAAAAAGAGTAAGAAGGGTAGTGGTTATGTTACCATGGAGAAGAAGAAGAATTGAGCAAAGGAGAAGAGAATTGCAGGCCATAATTAGAAGGTAAATACAAAGTATGGGGCCCTGGGATTGGGGAAGACCTCGGTTGGTACCTTGTCAATACGTATATTTTAGTTAAGTCATTTAATCGATATTCTTTGGAACTTTGTGATTGGTAATTGACATGTTTGTTCTTCCTTTTTTTATATGCAGGGGCAGAGCTGAATGTTCAACAACATGGAGAGAACTAGTGTATGAAGACAATAAAGCTGATATTCAGAGATAGCTTCCTTCTGTACTCTTCCTCACCAAAGCCTGTGTCTTTATTATTTGATAATGTATCAGTACTGAGCAATTTTTGAATGTTATGTTGAGTTGATAATAGATTATTATATCATTTATGAATCCAAGAAATTTATCATATAGCGCGCAAATGGTAGTGTATTGTTTTTTCTTCATCTTTAGCTTGACCATTTCCCATAAAGTTTGCAAAGACTAACTAGTTTTATAGCATAAATTCATATTGCCAGAATCCACTGTAATTTGAGATAGTCTCAGTTTTATAACGATCAACTTTGGGAGAATTTCGAAGACTTCCCTTCATTAGGTTCTGGCTTTGTTGACATATGGACCAAGATCTGATGTTTTTTTCATTGGATAAGTCAGAGGAAAATTAAGTACTGCAGTTCTTTTCAGAACTGGATTGCTAGAGTATTAGATATTCCATTCTGAATCTGCAGATATGTAATTAAATTGAGCTTTGCTCAAAGGTACATTTTTCTGTTTTTTTTTTCTCAAGAAAAGAACCTATTGGTATTCTAGGTGGAGATCTCTTTTTATGCCTAGATATGTACATCTTAATTTTGTATGCATAAGCAAAATAAGTGAGACTTTCCCTTTACATCTATTTGGAAGTATCAAAAAGCTGTAGAGCTTGCACCTTTCTTCCTTTAGTACCATGAAGCTCTTTCTATACAAATGTACTTGTATCACAATAGTACAAACAATCAAGAAATGTACATAACAAAGTTTTACGAATATGATCGATAGTTGAAATCAACAGAAGATAGATCCCAAAAAATATTTGAGCATATACATATGATCAGTAATTCTTTTTGGTCGGTATGTGGTTCATATGATCTATAATTGCTATACTGTGACTCTGTGAGTCTGTTTCTCGTAGCTAAATCTAACTAATTAAGAAAGTCGGTCAACTTCGATGTATTGACCTATATAATTTTCGACATTCTCATTAAGTTGATCTATAACAACCTATTTAGAGCAAGTATAATATGTTAACATAAAGTATAGAGAATATAATACTGCTAAAAGATTAAATTACAGTAATATCATAGATTTACAACAAGCTGCCCGGATTAAGTCTACTATGTTACTAACATACTAAAATATAGTTCTTAAATAATCTACACTAATATTGTAAGTTACATTAGAGTGACTGATGGAGTATATTAATATAGTAACTAGAGAAACAGCACGTAGTACATGTGTAACACTTTTTGAATATTATCGGGTAAATTTCACAAATGGTCATGTAACTATGACTTTTTATCATGAAAGTCATATAACTTTGTTTTCTCACATAAAAATCATAAAACTTTTACTGACTCGCACAAAATCAAAGGGACCGAAAAATACAACTTTTCAGTAGTAGTTTCTTATCCCACGATTTTTTAGTTTTTATTTTCAGTCTAATAAGTAATAATTCAATTAAAATAGGAATGACCTGACCCGACCCGATCACCCGACCCAAAACCATATATATATATATATATATATAATAAAAGTGAATCTTTCAAACACGATACGTCTATCTTTTATTTTCTTTTCAAAAATTTCATTCAAATTGATAGCATTTTTGTTTCAAGTGCTCTCTAATTATACCTTTATTTCTTTCTTTCTTTCTTTTGTCAGAATCTCATGCATTCCGAATTAAGTTTTTGTAGGGGAAGGATTCACTTTTAATATTTTAATTTATGTATATAAGTATTGGCTAGGTTGGATTGGGTCATTCCAATTTTAAGGAAAAAATACAAAAATAACTGGTACTCGAAACTAATTGCATTCGCTAGCAAACAAAAAAATAGAATATGTATATTATATGCATATACAACACACACACACACACACTATATATATATATATATATATATATATATATATATATATTTGGCTATATATATATAGATATTAATTATTTTTAGAAGCGGCTAAAAATATGAATTTTTCTTATTTTAATTAGATTATTATTTATTAGACGAAAGATAAAAAAATAAAAAACCGTGGAATAAGAAAATACTACCGAAAAATTGTGTGTTCCGGTCACTATGATTTGCGTCTTAGTTAGTGAAAGTTTTATGATTTTTGTGTGAGAAAATAAAATTGTATGACTTTAGTGAAAAAAATTATAGTCATATGACTATTTGTGAAATTTACCCAATATTATCTCGTGCAAATAATAGATACTACTATATCATTCCTGAATTCAAGAAATTAGATTAATGTGCCGCAAATGGTGGTGTATTTATTATTTTTGGTCCTCTTCAGTTTAGCAATTTGAATACATCAATTAGGTTTGTAACGTACATCATTTTGTTAGCGCCAGAATCCCCTCAAATTTGAGATGGACCCTCATGTTTTAATTCCAAAAGTCACAAAATTAAGGAATGTAATTCTTTTAGGTCTAAATTCCGAGGGTTATAAATGGTTTCAGATAGAGCCAGGTTCAAAATTTAAAGTTTATGGGTTTCTACCGCAATCTCGATTTACAATTAAATAGATGTATAGTGAATTTCTCAATAGAGCTTGAACAAAAACTACTGGTCACGGGAGCCCATAAGCTTAAGGCACCACCCCTGATTTCAGGCAAAAATCGACTTGGAAGAAGACTTGAAGGATTGAATGCTGGATCAGATTGGCTGTTCGATTTTTTACACTTAGGGTGTGTTTGGTATAATGGAAAATATTTTTTCTCGGAAAACAAGTAGTAATCTTACTCATTTTCCGGTGTTTGATATGCAAATTAAGGAAAATAACTTCTCAAGAGTATTCATAAATAATTTAAATACAATAAACACGAAGCCATAAACTTTCGAACCAAAAACCTTCCGAACCCACAATTTTATAGAGGGTATCTAAGCTTATAATTGTCTATGCATTTGGTAAACACTTAAAGTGTTTATAAGCTAAAATTAACTAACAACCATAAGATGTTCATTTCCAACTTATAATCTTTCACCTTATAAGCATCTTTAGTTTGACCAAATTTTTTACTATTTTATCCTTAATATTTATTTAATTCTAAATGTCACGAATTCAATCTCCCACCATAGGATGTCGTGATGACACCTAGTCTCTAATACTAGGTAAGCCTAACATGCATGGAGAAATAGCGGAAATAACAATAGAACTTCAATTTTAAACCATCTAGCTATCATAATAGAACTCAACAATACCGCTGACAATAACTCCCAAAATCTTGTGAGACTGAGTCATAAGCTCTACACAAATATACTGTAAAATTCCTAATACATCATCGTCGAAATAAAAAGTAAGCAGTAGAAAGGCAAGGACAGAGGATGACTCCAAGGCATGCGAACGCCGGGCAGGTGTACGTTGAAGCCTCCGAACTGAATGCTCTACTCCCTGGTGCCTAGCCTGGGTTGAGGTACCTGAATCTGCGCACTAGGTGCCATGTCGACATCCTACGGTGGGAGATTGGAGTTGTGACACTAAAGGTATCTTTCGATGATAAAACCCCTAACTTTCTCTCCACTTCATAGCTATCGTTCTTCCTTTTTCTTATAAACTAGTTTCTTGCCACGTGCATTGCACGTGTATGCCGAGCCATGTAAGATACAATTTGTAAAATACAATTTGTGGATTATCAATGTAGATCGTATAATGACTTTTTTCAGAATTAGATTTACGTAAATAATAAATCAATCCTATCTTTATACCTAGTAACTATGTATAGCCGTCATTAGAACCAAAACTTGATTGTTACAAGCAAGAAGAAACTTAAAGTGTTTCTATATTTTATACACAACAAAGATCATTATAACTGCAAAATAGATAAAAGAGTTAGATACAAGACCAAAATCTACAATTATAAAACTTTCGAAGAAGTACAACCATGAAATACTCTTCAAGTGAAGTACATTCGAGCGCACTATACAATTGTATAGGTAAACAAGCAATGAGAAACTCTGATATAGCAAAATATTATCGACTTACCAATATGAAGTATTGATCAAGAATTTTACTCAAGTTTACATGTAACTGCATGAAGGTTGTCTTTATCCTGATAGAAGTCGTGGAAGATCGATTGAAGCTACTGAGAAGAGGAAGATTCAAAGAGAAAATGAGAGAAGAAGAGAACAAACTTTCTTCATTTTTGAAAAGACTCAGTTCTGTACAAGTAGCTACAATATTTAACAACTTGATCTAACAACTAACCGACTTTAACTAACTCATTAACTAACTGACTATAGTTAACGTTACACTTATGCTTAACCACAGTTAACTATCAGCTTATTACTCAGCTGCTAGCCAACACTCCCCCTCAAGCTGATGATTCAAACAAGTTCTTCAATCCAGTTTTGTTCAGCAAGTACTCATGTTGAGCTTTTCCCAGTCCCTTTGTGAGCAAATCTGCTAGTTGATCTTCTGTATTTACATACTTAGTTTTTAGCAGTCCCTGACTAAGTTTTTCTCTCACAAAATGACAGTCTATGTCAATGTGTTTTGTTCTTTCATGAAATATTGGATTAGCAGCTATTTGGATTGCTGTTTTGCTATCACATACTAGAGTTACTGGCAGCTCAATCTTGACACCTAGTTCACTGAATAAACCTGTCAACCATGTAACTTCTGCTGCACATGATGTCATACTTCTAAACTCTGCTTCTACTGAACTTCTGGAGACAGTACTTTGCTTTTTAGACTTCTAGGATATCAGTGCATTCCCAAACTTGACTAAATACCGTGTAACTGATCTCCTTGTCTGTATGCATGCCCCCCAGTCTGAGTCACAATAAGCAGTCAGTTTACTTGATGATTCTACAGGGATGAGCAGTCCCAGACCTGGTGCCTCCTTTATATACCTTACTACTCTCAGTGTTGCTTCCATATGAGAGACTTTAGGACAGTGCATGAACTGGCTAAGGACTTCAACCACAAATCCAATGTCTGGCCTGGTCATAGTGAGATACAACAACCTCCTTACCAGTCTTTGATAAGCACCAGGATTCTTGAGGGCTTCATCTGAGTGAGTACTGTTGGTATTTGAAGCACCTGCCAAATTCTGTGGATGTTAACTTCTGGTTCAGCTCTAATGGTGTTTCAGCTGGCTTTGCACTTAGACCTGACTCAGAAATTAACTCTAGTGCATATTTGACACATGAGAATT